GATATGCGAATAAAAAAAAATCATATCTACCTATAAATTATAATTCAACTAGTCAAGGTTGATATAAAGTCAAATGATAAGAAAATGCCCCGATAATTTATTCTTCATTTTTTTAATTAGGTTGTTCAGAAAGTAATTACATATTTTATCGCTGTGAATTTTGATACTACCATCCAAAGTTTAATGCTAGGAAAATTTTTTTAATACCTTTACCCCAAGCAGCGCGATAATACCACTAGGACACAGAGGGTGTGTTACGAGGGAGTGAAAGATAATGACAAGACCTTAATGGGATGGACTGAGGAAAGAATAATAAAGAAACAGGCTTCAAGTAAATACAAGATGGTGATGGACGTTACATTTATTTTTTTTGAAGATTGTAGTTGTCAGGGAAACAAGAAATCAGAAGGGAGTGAATCATGCGAGAATAGAAACAGTAAGAAGTGGCACATGTATCTAGCGAGTTCAACAGTAAAATAGTGAGACCTAGTTGCCAATCTAGAATTAGTATATCCTCTTTTATCAAACAGTGTGTAGTTTGTAATAATTGTCCGTGTTTAAATCTACAGTTTCAAAAACCGACATGTTCGCCATTATTTAGTTAGTGAATTTCGTAAAAGGCAATATTGCAACAGACGCATTTTAAAAGTTTTTGTGCACAAAACGTGAATGTATTGTAGGCGCTTACGTATTAGCTTTTGGTTAAAATCTTTTAAAATGGCTATTTTCAGAAGCCTCGCTTTGGACGCCGACCCCCTCGGAATGAAGAAATGTTAAAGAGATTATTGAATTGGTTCAACGACCAGAGAATTGACATTAAAAACTTAATATATCATGTTCAACTATCCACGAAATCCTCAAGTGATTTAAGAAAACTTGCAAAGTGGGAATTTGGTTTCCTCGCGAGGTTTCGTTTGGAAACTGAACCTAACATTCCACCATTGCTGACAGCCATTTTAACCAAGAATGAAAAACTTGCACTTTTGCATTATATTGATACAGGTGATGAAAAATTGTTTTTTCCCTCTTTCCTCGTATATCTGCCACAAATATTTCAACTTTCTTTTCCTGGTGTTAAGTATAAGTATCCTCTCTTTCTCTCCATTTTACGTGTTGGAAAAATATTTTGTGACCCACTTTAGTGTTTCGGTTAGTTTAAATTCGTTCGGTCAGGTTAAGAGCGAACTCTTATCGTCAGATGCAATATGAAGGCATCAAACCATGGAATAGATATACGCGTATTTGAAAAAAATGCCCATCTTTGTAGAACATCAGTAAAAGAGCTAACCGAAAAATTATATGAACGCCGCCGAAGGAAAACCAGAATAATGGCCATGGTAATATTAGCTCGGGCTGAGATCAAAGTGTAGTATCTGTTCTCCTCATCTCTAATGGTAATATTAGCCGTTCCCTTATAAGGAAACATTCGGCATTCATTGACCGAGCTTAGGCGATTATCTGTCTTTCGATTCTTGACTAACGATGGGGAAAGAGAAGAAGAGTGTTCATACCTTTCCCAAAGGTATTAGAACGCAAGTGAATGTAATGGATTCGACTGAAATTCGAACTCGGCTCTCCGATTCCTCAATCCGAGCCACTATCCATTACTCCTCTCTGCCTAAGTAGGAGTAGATATTTTTTTTGAAGAGGAGTAGAGGTGTATCCCTTGTTTCATGTTTAGGAACGGATTTCTGGTTCCTTCTAGTCTTTTTCATTCTGTTTCACTCCCAGTATCCCATTTCATCTTAGTGGCATTGTTGCCTTAATTACGGCGAGTTGTTGAAATAAAAAAAAAAAATATAATTGCTGAAATTAAATAAAAATTGAATTGTTTAAATAAAATCGTAGCCTTGTCTGTCCCTTGTAAATGTAAAATATGGCAGTTGGGTTAGGATATTATAATGATGTATGCAAAATACCGACACTGGCCCCTCCTTCTGTTCTGTCAATGACTGAGCTATAACTGCAAGGCACTTGATGGTGACAGTTTTAGCTTGATCCCTGTAAAGTTATTTTCAGCGAAGTTATGTTAAAATGTTTAAAAGTGGGCGGTCCAATAAATATTGTGTAACTAACAGTAGATCGTCGCCTGAACATGTAGAAGTATTTGGATTATTTTTATTCCGTTTTTTTCTTTTTTCAGATTAGCTGAGGAAATCTGAAAATTTTAATTTTTTTTTTCTTTTCCGTTTAGTTTTTAAAAAGAATTATGTTTTTTTTTCTCATGATTTTTATTTTGTTTTGTCTTATTTTATTTCCCTTTTTGTAGTATTTATTTATTTTTAATTATTTTTTTTTTATTTATTTTCCCTTATTATTTCCAACAACAACAAAAAAAAATAGGAAAAATACGATATCTTATTTGGGCAACACATTTTTTTGTTATTGTAAATTTTTTTAAATTTACGTGGGGGGAAAAGTCACGTTATTTTACAATTTTTTTTTCTGAATCATTCTATGTTACGCAAGAAAAAACAGTAACAAACAGCTCCTCAGTTTTTTGAATTACGACTCATGTAACCATTTTCCAGTGAATTCGGAGCGTTTGTCTAAAACCACATAGCCATTGACAAATTTTCGTTGCAGATTCATTAACACCATAGCTACGAAGTGGCTAAGAGCTACAAAGTTCAGCAAATTGCGGAGAGTCATGATCGCTGACACCTGAAGGGACACAGTACAAAGAAGAAGTATGGTGTAGTGGTTAAGTGTAGGAAAAATATTTGGTGAACCGTTTTCGAGTTTCGGTCGACGCTAATTGCGTCCTCTCAAGAGTAAAATTAGTTCTCATCTTCCGTGTACGGCGGCGGTAAACGCCATATCTAGAACAATATGTGAAAGTCTTTGAAGATGGAAGTTGACTTGGAAGCGAGAACCCAGATAGTTCCTCAAGAAGAAATTATTAGCATAGAACTTACGGTTACAGCTAGCCATTTCAACTGTAAAATGATGAAACATTGTTGCTTTGCCAATCTAGTACTGCGTTTAAATTCATAAAGTCTACGTACCATAGAAGGGTCATCAGAACAAGTACCATGAAAATATTTAGAGGAAAGTCACAAGGAAGTCATACTACGGCGGTGGGAAAGTGAAGTCGGGATGTTACGTCAGGACCAATGACGTTGCAGATTCTTCTTTAGCTGTTACCAAGAATCTCTAAATATATAGCAGGAGCACCACCCCGTATGTGGCAGTAATATTGAAAGCATTGACGAATGGTAGACTTATAAATATATAAGATAGATACCAGTGAGAAAATTGTTTAAGACGATATAGGTTACCAAATTTCTTTGCAGAAGACCTAGCAATTGATTTAATATAATCTTTATACTTCATGTCAACAGAAAATGTTAGCTGTAGAAGGCTCTATGAGTCAGTCCCCTGGAGGTGAGCATCAGTCATGGTCAGATGATTGACAGAGAACAGTTTCTTTTTAGGGGGAGTCAAAATTAACAAGACATTCCTTGCTCCAGTTAAAAGCAGATTGTAGATTATTTATGAGATCAGCTGCCAATTTGACCTGACATCGAACCTATCAGACTTATTATTAAGAAAGAAGTAAATCCTTGTATCATCAGCTGAGATACCGAATTGAGAGCAAATGCCACCAGGAAGGTCGATGATGAAAATGAAGAAGTTGCAGGATAGAGCTCTGGTGGACATCTGCTTTAATGCAGAAAGACCTAGAAGAGTGGCCGTTCAAGACAACTTTCATTTTGCGATTTGATAAGAAATTTTCGAACAGTAGAAATTAAAGAATAGATGTCATCTAACATTTGTAATAGAAGTAGTGGTTTTATTGCCTAGCTTGGGGTGAAATGATTAAAAAGAGGCACCTGAGTCAGTTATATCACTGGCGAAATAATTCAGTTTGCAACGCTATGTTGTAATTGTCTTTAAGGGTGACATTCAAAGAAAAATAATGCCTCTGCCTATATCTCTGAGATGCGGTATTATTATTTGCATTATTTACATTACTCGGACTGATATCAACAAAAATTGCAATATAAACTCTGGTAAAAAATGTAATAATAATAATAACAGAAAAATTGCAATATGAGCACTGGATGGTTTATACATTAGGTTAATAGGTTCCAAAAATTTCATATGCAAATGTCCTCAAGGACACATGGCCCATTGGATAAAGACAATGGTTAGATTCAGTGACTAGACCCAAAGTGTTGTGAGTTTAATACCAGGCCGAAGTGGTAATCCAAAACATGGAGATTTGAGTTAAAGAGTAATAACTGAGATATCCAAAAGAGGCATGGCATGTGGACCTAGAACAGTCTATCCTGGCGGACAAGATAAAGGGTTTGTTTTGAAATTTCAGTCATCTGAAAAAAGCCGAAATATAGCAAGGTCCAGTTCAGAATTACCTGTCCATTCTTCAAATCTAAAAATCAACCATTCTTCCCTATATGGAATACTGCTGGTCTTCCCGCTGTTCATCTCAAGGTGCTACACAAAATCCAGAGACAGATCTGGCGTCCCGTGTGCAGTCACTGTGGCTTCCTTCTGTCTCTTCTACAAGTACTTTCATGGCAATTGCTCCGACGAGCTGCTTTCACTTGTTCCCAAATTCTATGAATTAAAGTGTGCTACTAGGTCGGCATCTTGGTCCCGCCCGTTCACTGTCGAAACTGTACTGTACTGTACTGATGCGGCATTCACCCTGGGCGGATTGAGCCGGCTTCTTTCTGTTATGAGAAGAAGATTCTTGGGATAAATTACAGAAGTAGGGTACCCAGGCCTACTCAAACAACGTTCTTGCTTGCCGTGGGATTCCTACAGACGCAGAGACAGGAACGACCAGAAGCCGCCGGTTACCGATGCAGACGCTCCTTGGATTTTCACCAGAGCCCTTGTTAGCCGGCGTGTGTGTCAGACCTGTCCGCCTTGGGTGGCCCTACCAGGAACGAATTTCCTTGCGGCATAGCTCTGACACTACCGTTTACACCCCCCCCACCGACTGTGAGGTAAGGGTTGGACTTTGGGGGCTTACAGTACCAGGTGTTCCCAAGCGGTCCCCCATCTAAGTACTGACCTGTCTCTACGATGCTTAACTTCGGTGATCGAACGAGAACCGGTGTTTCAGCGTGATTTGACCGTAAGCCTCACTGTCGAAACACCTAAATATAGCTATATCTCCAACAGCTTTTTATCTCGAACTTCTTGTCAGTGCAACTCCTTTTCCCTGCTGCCTATAATCTTCAAATATTCAAATATAATGCCAATCGACACCTTCTGATGTCTTTGACCTTTTTTTTCTCCCCGTCCTTCTCTTTATCCTTTTCTCAAACACCCCTCTTTACTCTTAATCTTACACTCTGTAACTCCTTGCGTGCTAGTGGCACTCCCGCCTTGCTTGGGGCGATTTGCTTATTAAAAAAACGTTACTCAGATCTGTATACTTCTGTTGAAGGTCCTGAGGGCTCAACGACCGAAACATTGGGATAAAAAAAACAGTGATAATGTCTATAGACATATTCCATCAGACACAAGGCAAGCGGTGGTTAGGTTTAGTCTCGACACCAAGCCACAGCAGTGCTGAACTAAAAGTGTTGATACTGGTTTCTCATTCCCACAGAGCCTTAGATTTAACAAGTAGCCCCACATCAAGTGATTTGAGAAGGTACTGATACCCTGAGTCAAGAGTGTGGCTGTTGGAAGACGCTATCTCTGGTTACAGGACTCTGTACCATGTCATACAAGCAGGAGAACCGAGTCATGGATGTCAGACAATTTCCGCAACCACATCACCCATTATATCAAACCATCTAACTCACCAAACTGCAGCCGCAATTACGATTTTATTGAATAAATTTACTCTTTCTTAATTCAAGTTATGTTTGCGCAAAGTTGGTAAATATATCTGTTAAAATGAGATGCCAGTGTTATTTTCATGTTTGTATAATTTAGGCGACAACTTATCCATCGCGCCCTGTATATCCTGCATATCCTCCAGGTACTTCACTCTTTTACGCCCATACAAACAATCTTGTTTCGTAATCCTCTAACCTCAGTGGCTCTTGCGCCATGCATTGGGGCGAACATTGTGTAAAGAAGAAACGAATTTATCAGCGACAGACAGATATTCAGTTTGTTCCACAAAAATGCGTCAAGAAGAAAAATAAAATAATAAGAAAAAATAAAATCTCACGAGAGTAAAAAAGGTCAAGGACAAAATTCATGAAAATCATAGGTCAAGGACAAATACAGTATTTATTCATTGACCTTCAATAACGTTGGAAAGTTTAGAGGAAATATGATAGATGTTGATATTTGTCTGTCTCTGCACGAAGTTAAATTTGACAAAAGGTCGGCATAATGTAAGGTTCAAAAGACAGACGTAAATAGAAAGGAAATATTGTGAAAAATATAAAAATAACCACGATTACAGTAATAATAGGAGCACATCAAACGATTGAAAACAATAATGAAATATACAAGAAGTAAATCCCAGGGAAGCCATCATTCTTTAAGAAATATTCTCTCTTTACGTCAAGTCTCTGTTAAAAGATAAACCATTTTTTTACAGCAATTCTTCCTTTAACTCAAGTGTAAGGTAAAATAAATACCTTTACTGCAAGTCTTGTTTTACATCAAGTGTCAGCTAAAGAAGTCACCTTTCTTTACCGCATGTGTTAGATTACCTTTAGTCTCAGGTAAAAAAAAAACAAAAAAAAACTTTATTTATTAAATGTCTTTCTTTACCTCAAGAATCAGGAAAAGGAAATTATTACTCCACCACAATTCTTCTTTACCTCAAGTGTCAGGCGAAAGAGATATCTTTCTTTTCCCCAAATCTTCCTGTAAAGAATTTCTTTACCGCAGGTCTTACTTTACCTCGACTCTACGGTAAAAAAAAAAAAAAAAAAAATTCTTTACTGCATATCTTCTTTACCTCATGTCTCACGTAAAAGAGAGACATTTCTTTACTGCATATTCACTTTTACCTCAAGTCTCAGGTAAAATAAACACCTTTCTTTACCGCATATCTTCTTTTACCTCAAGTCTCATGTAAAAGAGATACCTTTCTTTAACGTAAGTCTTCCTTTACCTTCAAGTGCCAGGTAATATACACACCTTTCTTTACTACAAGTCTTGCTTTACCTCAAGCCTCATGTAAAAGAGACATTTCTTTACCGCATATCTTCTTTTACCCCAAGTCTCAGGTAAAACACACACATTTCTTTAGAGTATATCTACTTTTACCTCATGTCTCATGCAAAAGAGACACCTTTCTTTACTGCATATCTTCTTTTACCTCAAATCTCAGGTAAAAGAGATACCTTTCTTTAACGTAAGTCTTCGTTTACCTTCACGAGCCAGGTAAAATACACACCTTTCTTTACTACAAGTCTTGCTTTACCTCAGGTCTCATGCAAAAGAGAGACATTTCTTTACCGCATATCTTCTTTTACCTCAAGTCTCAGGTAAAATAAAAACCTTTTAACCGCTAGTCTTTCTTTACCTGAGGTGTCAATTAAACACCTTTCTTTATCACAAGACTTGCTTTACCTGAAATCTCAATTAAAATTCTTCCTTTCCAAAATCTCAGCTAAAAATACTTGGAAAGGTTTTCCTCAAGCAGTCAATCATAGAATCAGGAATAATTAAGTTGGGACATGAATAATTCTTGTAATTTTTTTTTTATTATCAACATTATTCTATAAAAATAAATTACAGTTGCATTTTATTCAATTATATATGCATCAATGTTTATAAAGTCATGTCACTTATCCGGCAATATGTCTTTACATTTTGAGTAAAATTCAACAGGCTCTAATGCAAAAGTTCATAAAGGAATGCTTGAACCAGGTTTTTATTAGAGAAATCTTCTCAATCAGTAATAAAAATAAGAATAATTTAAGCTGGAAATGAATTTAGATACAGACATGATGTGGTACGGGTAAACCTATAGACGCTATCTTATTTGTTGGCTATTGTGGCATGTGTGGGGTTTCCTTGTTTTACTCGATTCAGCAGCAGCAGCGACGGAAATAATCAGCAGGTATAACCGGAGGTCCCAGAAGTCATAAAAATGCTGAGAGAATCTTTCCGATTTTTTTTATTTTCAGCGGCATCTATATTCAAGGCAGACTCTCCCATTTTTCAATTTCAGTGGCCTCTACATTCAAGCCCAGGTCGAAGGGCTACACGCAACTCTTACTGCAGAAGACGAGGCTTGTCCTGACAGATTTAGGTCACTTTTCTCATTCCTCCCATGGGAACTGGCGGAGAAATCTCCCTTTGAAACACCTGCCAAAGGAAAACTACACACAAACCTTGCTGCAGAAGACGAAACCTGTCCTAGCAGTTTCACACTCCAGTTTTACCCCCACCCAAGCGGATAAATCTCTCTCAAAAAAAACTTTTTTTTTAACTGGGAAACTCCACGTTTCTCCTGCAAAATACTACTGGTTGGCATTCTTTTTCAACCAGAAATAAAAGCTGTTGAACAGTTATATCCAAACTTTGGGTTTTCTTTCATTCCACTCCCACTGCCATGCACAAACACACGCAATCTAGAAAAATCACCACATACCTGTATTGGATAAATTATAAGCTTCCCCATACAGAAACAAATGGTAAAAAGAGAAAGCAACTAGTGAGATTAAAAGAGGAAAAAGTTATAAGATCTAAAGATTCATCATTCATATCAAACTGCAACAGAGATGGTAACACACTAGATATAATTAAAACAAAATCGCTTCAAAAACAACACTTGCTATGAGTTCAGATCAAAAAGTATCGGGACTGTTGCTATGATAACGGAGCTGTAGTATGCAGAGAGACGCCCCAGCGTAGATTGATCTTTAACTCTGACGTGCACAGACACTAAGTTAGAACGTTCTCGCTAAATTCCTTTGTTTATAGCAGTGCTTGGAAGGAAAGTGTGTAGAGTGTCTCCTCACATCCCAGAGTTTCTATCAATAACCATCTTTTTGCAGCAGTTTCTGTCCAAGGAAAATATTCATCAGGCCCGACAGCCAGCGTATTTGCCAGATATCGCCGCTATTAAATTTTTACTCTTCAAAAACAAATCTCCATTGAAAGGAAGATTATTCTAGGACATGGAGAAAATCCAAGATAATGCGACAACAAAAAAGGAGTTCCAGGAATGCTTTCATCTATGAAAACGATGCTGGATGAAGCGAGTGGCTTCAGAAGGGAGTACTTAAAAGGAGATTACTGTATTTGCCAGCCTATTGGACGCACCCACTTATTGGAGGCACACAAGTTTTGGCATTTAATATTTATGAGAAAAATACACATTTTAGAATTAAAAAAGTTAAAAAAAGATAACCTTAACTTTATAAGATATTCTTACTAACCATTAAGAAATACTTACATTATTAGTACAAATTATTGGTAAAAATTATACTATTGGTACTTTTTTTAAAATAGAAGTAAGGTAAGATTTAATTACCAGGACATTTTTGGGAAAAGAAAAATTTTAGTACATTTCATCATATATATATTGAAATGGTTTTAGCTTCTTTTTTTTCATGGAGCAACATCGGCACATCCATTAATTTTATAATCGCCACAAAGAAATCTATTGCTGCTATCAGTGAACACTTGATATATGTTTTATAGACGTACCTATTCTTTAGACGTACCCCAATTTTGGCATGGAATATTTAAGGGAAAAATGCACACATCACAACCAAAATGTCAAAATTATAACCTTACTTTTATGAGATGTTCTTACTAAACAAGAAGAAACACTTATAATATTAAGACAAATTATAGAACTGCTATCTTTTTTAATAGAATTGAGGCCAGTTTAAAATACCAGGGCATTGTGGGGAAAGAATAATTTTAGTACATTTTATTATGCATTTATTGAAACTTGTTTCAGTATTTTTTTTTCAGGGAACATCAGCACATACAGTAAATTCAAGACCTTTTTAACGTGGGCATTCCGAGCCAAAACATGCCCATTGAACCCGTATAAACGGGTTTAAGGCCGGTTTTACCTTCCCGAAGGAGACTCCGCTCTTCGGCGTAGCCTACTTCGGGTTCCTCCCGTCCGTAGGAAGAGAGTTTAACCGAACAGTCGCTCAGAAAGTACTGACTCGACTGATTCAAATCAGTAAATTCA